TTAACACATAAAGTAGAGTAAATTAAGATTAATTCAAATCTAATAAAGTTATATATTTTAATAAATAAATTATTGTTTTTGTGGCACAACTTTCATAGAGAAATCGACGACAGGGTAGCCCTGAACCAATTGACTCAACGATATAATATCCACCCATTGTTTAGCATAATCAGCCACAGTATCCACAGTCACGCCACCGCTCGACTCAATCAACACATCCGGGAAGTTATGCTTCAGTATACGGGCCGACGCCTCCAACGCCTCGGGATCGAAATTATCCAACATTATCACATCGACCCCCAGTCGGGCCGCCTCCTGGGCCTCCTCCAGGTTCCGGCACTCGACCTCTATCTTGGAGGCAAAGTCCCGCACCTGACGGACAGCGCCGACCGCCGCGGCCACCGATCCGCTAATCACCACGTGATTGTCCTTAAGCATCACCATATGGGACAAGTCATACCTGTGCCCACTCACACCGCCCACAACCAGCCCGTACTTCTCAACCACCCGAAAGCCAGGGGTTGTCTTACGGGTGCCGGCGATTGTGCCCTTCCAGCCGACTCGATCGACAGCCGCGCGTACCCGCCGGGCCTGAGTGGCCACACCCGAGCATCGGGCCAACACATTAAGAGCCACCCGTTCGGCGAGCAACACGTCCCGCGCCTTACCCTTCACGTCGGCCACCAGTTGTGTGGGCGTAGGGTTGAGGGACTGGCCCTCCGGGTACTGCCAGTGCACCGTCAAGTTTAGCTCGTTCAATATGGCGTTCACAAAGGGTAGGCCCGCCAATACACCCGGGCTTTTGCACAGTATACGGGCGTTGACCACTTTGTCCTCAGCTACCAGCGCCTGTAAGTCAAATCTAAGCATAAATTTTAAAAACATGATGTTTTTGTTTTATAGTATGTTTTGTTAATTATTTTATTTAAATAAGTTATATTTAGTATAGTAACTCACCCTGGCAAGTCCTCTTTGATCCAGCTCTGGGCTAATTCACGCACTTGTATGAGATTTAGAATATTTTCGTAACTCATTATGAACAAATTATTTAGTTATTAAATCTTAATTAATGAATTATAAATGTAAAATTTTTATGTTAATTTATATTTATATAATAAATTGAATGCAACAGTAATTTATAAGCAAAAAATAACGTTTGTATGAAATGTGAAACACTTTGTGTCAAATGATGAAAATATTATTTGGTTCTTACTATCGATAATATATTGTACAAAATAAAGTGGTTGTCCTTCAATTTGTTCATTACCTCTGTATAGTGTACAGTACTTTATCATGTATTTTGTACCGGTTTCTATTATTTATTATGTTGAAAAGTACACTATATAACAGACTGCTTAATGTAGATAAAATATTTCTACACTAAAAGTGAACTTATTTTTTTGATAACAAATGTTTACATTAAATCAACATTTATAGCTATTTTTAGATTTATTT